AGGGTAGGTAGTAGGGTGGGGTAGGTAGGTTATGTTAATTTTATAATATTATTATTAATTAAGATGATAAAACCTAAAAATTGAATTAAAAAAGGGAAAACCTGATTTTTAGAAAGTTCAAACTAAACACTTGGTTTAGTGTAATTTCCTCATGCAAAAATAGCATTCAAGAAAAATATTTATGAAAATCATGTTATTATGTACCAGTCTTTGGATTTTGATACTATATTAGCATGTATTTTTCAATATTTAATTCTTTTGCTAGATCCCAATTTACCCGACAAGATTATAAAATGAAAAAAAAAATTATAAAATGAAAAAAATTATGAATTTTTACTATTTCAATAGATTTTAATTGTAATATTTTGAGAAAATTGAGAGACATGCAAACTAAATAATTGATATATTTGTTCAATGAACTACAAGAAGAGAGCAAAATAGCCTTATTTATTAAAGGAGACAACCAACGAGCTAAAATTGAAGTATAACTTTCATTTTGTACAAGAGTAATACTATTTAGTATTACTGGTATAGTATCAATTTAGATAAAATTATTTTAGATGTACATTTTTGTTTACATTAAGGATGACTTTTTTTTTATTGTTAAAATCTGGTAAAATGATGTGAAAGGGTGTTTAAAAAATCGAAGGCTATGATGAGTGCCATGTGGAAAGATGTCAAAATTAATGTAAGTAACAATGTACATGTAACATGTTTCATTTAGATAACATATAAATATCATTTAATTAATATATCATCTTATGATTAAAATACATAAATCTCATTCACTTATTTATGCAATGAGAACCACAAAAGAGGTGTTAGCCCACAATCAATGTGGGAGTGCTATATTGTGCACGAGAGTCGTCTCTTGTCTTGATTTTATTGTCTTTTCTTTTTTCTTTTCGACATTGCTCAATTTAATTTACAATGATAAATAATATTCATATATACAGAAAGAGAACAGATTTTCTAAACACCGTAAAGCACGGATGACATGACAAATTATGCTAAACGTTGTGCTTAGCTTATATGCGATAGAACTATTATGTTAATCTGGACCCAAATTGTGTCAAAAGTTGTAGAACAAATAGTAAAATTGAAATAAATATAGAAGTTGTGATTTAGTAGAAACAAAACATAATTTATGTGACCAATATAAACAGATTTATAAGTTGGAGTAACCTCAGTAAAAAATTCCGACACAGTGCATTACCACAAGATATTTACAATGGAAACCCCGGAATTATACCACCGATGCATGTTTTGTTTGTACTCAATAACATTGAACAATCATTCTTAATCTTGTCCAGTGTTATCGAATTCATATACTTAGCTTATGTTTGGTGGTGATTAAATTTAAATTTTTAGTAGATTTTGATAAAACATTTTTGAAACGTGTGGTTAAGAATCGTGAGATCCATAAATTATGTTATTAATATTAATTGTTTGATTTAAATTTAAATTAAAATCTGATTTAAACCAATACAAAACGGGGGTTTAATACATGGGCGGACCCAAGAAGGAAGCTCAGTGGAGACGAAACCAAAAAATCTTGGAAAAAAATCTGAAAACCTACAAAAAAAAAAAAACTTAAAAAAAACTGAAAATTTGAAGAAAAATCGGGAAATCTGAAAATTGAGCGGGGGCTGCGGCACCCACTGGTCCTCATGTAGGCCCGCCCCTGGTTTAATATTGAAGACCAGTTTACTGCTGAAGCAGACAGATTTTGGAGGCAATTTATTTCCCATTGTTGCTACGAGTGGCAAGAATGTTCGAATGTAACAATTATGATTATCATAAAAAAATAAGTGCCTGGGCCTATAATTGTTGAAATTCATACTTCGAATGTTCAAATGAAACAATTATGATTTTGAGATATTTCAAACAAGTATTGAAATTTGATTGTGTATATTTCTTTTTATATGATTTAACATATTTTGGGTAGCTACTTATAAGAACGAGAGAGGAAGATTAAAAATAATGTGCATTGCCGCCGTACATTTACTCACAGTATAAGAGCATATCCAATTATAGGGTAAAATAGATCTAAAATGTGATTTAGATCTTCAAAGTTGTCGAAACATCTCCAATGGAGATATGCAAATGAAATGCAAATTACATTTTTCAACAAAAAATGTAATACATCCATAAAAGGCAAAAAGTGAATTTAGATTTTTTAGTGGAGCAAAATTTGAATTTAGATTCAAGGGGATGTAAAAGTGATTTTTGAGGTATCAATTTACACCCAATTTTATACGACAATTACAAATGCTCTAACTTTCATTTTGGACAAGAATAATGTTATTTAGTACAACTAATACTACGTACCAGTTTAGATAACATATAAATATCATTAAATTAATATATCATCTTATAAGTAAATACATGAATATCTTTCATCGCCCGTCACTTAAGGACATATGTAACGTTATTCTTATTATTTATGAAATGCCACGAACATGGTGTTAGCCCATAATTCAACGTGGGGGGTGCTATATCGTGCAGGAGAGCCATCTATTCATTCTAATATTATTGTCACTTTTTTTGTTCTTTTCTACGTTGACTCACAATTTAATATACAATGACATATAATATCTATATATAGAGAGACAACTGATCTACTAAGCACTGTTAACATGACAAACTATACTATACATTGTGCTTAGCTTATATACATTAGAAATGTTATGTTCGTCCGGTCCAATATCGTGTCAGCAATTATAGAACAACTAGTAAAATTGAAATAAAAAATAAAAGTTGGGATTTAGTTGAAACAAAAATAATTTATGAGACCCAACACAAACAGACTTACAAGTTGGAGTAACCTCAGTAAAAATTCCCATACGTTGCATTACTGCAAGCAAATTACCAAGTACACCCTGGGATTATACAATAGATGCACGTTTCGTTTATACTTGACAATATTGAACAATTATTTTTTAATCTCGTTCAGTGTTGTCGAATTCAATATACTTCAACATTGAAGACTTACAGCAATTCTTGACAACACTAAGGGTGTGTTTGTCTCTCATTATTGGAAGAAAAATAGAGTA